TTCGCTCGACGTACCTATGCTCGTGTTGTAAGTTTCTAAGTACTAAAATCCTCTTTAGTTAGATCAATGATTTTAGATCTATTACGTATTATCTGTATTTTCTTATACAACGAGCCCTGTTCCCTTGGGGTTGGTTGTGATGTTACTCGCTAGCGCTTTGACGCTCGTTGTCCCTCCCCCTTTCAGGTAACGAGCCAGGAGCCCGGAGAGTCACAGGTTGATGGCGAGGCATTTTAGCTCCAGCCGTCTATTTAGTTATATATTTTCTTTTGGGAGTTCCATAGTAGATTTTTGTTTAGACATTTAAGAGTATTGTTCTAGAAGTTGTAAAGGTTGTGTGCCTTATTTTCTTTTCGTCAGACATTTGTATTTGAGACTTGTTAAGTATTCCAGTTTATCTACTCAGACCTTGACTATGTATTTCTGTATGTTGGATGATGAGATATTTATATGATTATTATCATTTCATCAGTATTTCTTGTATTGTCTTTTACTTACTTTTGTACCTACACCTGTTGTTGACTCTATTAGATAGATGTTAATTGTGATGGTGAAATATGTTATTGCACGGTGTGATGCATGACAGGTTTGACATTCTTGGTTTCACCTTGGACTGTAGCCTTGTGTGAACCCAGGGGCGTCACAGATTAATATATAGATATTATCCATAAAGATAAATTTTGAAAAACGATATTTTTTTCAAATTTAATAGGCAAAACCAACCGTCTAACAAAAAAATTGGCAAAATCGACCCTTTTTTGCACGGGACTACTGGTCCCATGCAAAAAAGGATCGATTTTCCAAATAACTCATCACGATGTCCCCCCCCCCCCCCCACTCCTCTCCTTTAGCCACTTCTCCTCATCTCTCTCCCCTCTCCTCCCATCACCTGCCGAGCCTCACCAGTGTTGGAGTCTTTTATTTTGATGATGATTAACAAATAATTTATAACTAATGTTGTTTGTCTAGTGTTTGTATTTTGTATTTATTCTAGACAAACAATATGTTAAAGGATGGATGAAATCGAGCATTCACGATCATATCTAATGAAAGTTGGCGGAATTGTGGAGTGAAGCATTGCATTCAAGTTAAAGATCCAAGATCCCGTTTCATCCGCACAGTTTACCAAGTCGAGCTCATTGAAGACCTTCAAGCTTGGGTAATTTAGTTTTAGGTTTTATATTATGTGGGTTAGATACTTTAACCTCAACACACATATACGTTTTGGATTTATATATAGTTATATATATACAAGTTTTGGTTTTTGGTTTAGTTATGTAGATATGAAACAATTATATATTCATATACATTTATATATATTTTATTGTATTTGAAAAAATATTATGTTTTTGGTTTATAGACTTAACAACTATAGTTTATACTTTTTATCAAGTCTATAAAATCATTTTACATAATTTCAAATTTTGATTTATGTCAAAACGTCAAATTTCATGCCTATCAAGTTTTCATGTTTTGGATATTTTTGTAAAATAAAGAGATTTCTCATTTGGGAGCTGTTTTTTAAAAACTAATTTTTGTAACATGTGTATTATTATGTCTACAATCATTTCCTAAAGTTTTATATTTTTTTAAATTTTGTTTGCTATTTTAAAGACAGTTTAAAAATCAGTTTTACTATTTAAAACAGGCTGATAACCTGTTATCAGTCGACTGGTAAGTGATTGATGACATCAGTCGACTGATGTGTTGACTGAAGAAATCGCCTGGAATAACAAAAAGTTTATGTTTTATTTTGGTCAACTGATGAGGTTATCAGTCGACTGATAAGGTCTGTCAGTCAACTGATGAGTTGAAAAACGCCTCTAACGATCAGCTCATCAGTCGGCTGATGAAAGCCGTCAGTCGACTAATGTTGTAACGGCTAGTTTTTTTTAGCTTGTTCTAGTTTTGGGTTTTTGGTCTTTTTGATTTGTTTTTCTTGTGTTTTGGGGTCTCTATAAATACCCCTCATACCTCAGACCAAAAATCAACTAAGAAAGGTTTTAAAACAAGTTTTAAAGAGTGTTTAAGTTTTGTTTAAGTTTGTTTCAAGAGTTTGTTTGTGAAGAAACTTTCACAAGAGCAAATGGAGATTATCTATTGGTGTTTGAGCATTCAACTCTTCTCCCTCTCTCTTGTTATCATAGAGAAGTTTTCCTAAACTCTATTTCTAGCTATTTATTGTTTTATTCATAATTTCCATAAACTAGATTTAAATTGAGTTTAGTTTGATTTTGTTTTATCAAATCTCATTGTTACACACACCCACTTGAGCTTTTAGTATTTTCATACACAGTATAATTTGGGGTATGAGAGGTTGTAACCTTGAGTTGTGCTTAATTGAGTTCTCCCATTGTTTAGAGAATAACCATTGTATTGAGAGCGAATATTGTGAGGTTCGCTTTGTATTACACTAGTACACCAAGAGGAGTGTATGGTGAGAGACGGGGTCATCCCAAGAGGAGTGGGGTAGGTGGTAATGCCTAGAGAGAGGTTGTAATTCCTAACACTTGAGGGGGACACGGGCTAGAGACCAACACTTGATGTGGTAGTTAGTGTGTTTACATTGTGAGTGGTTGTAAAGTTTTCGGTGAGCTAGAAAACCGAGTATGAGGTATAAACGTTATTCGGATGAGCGTAGAAAACCCAGTTGTGATAGTAGAGATCTCCTCAAGGTGAGGAGCGGAGACGTAGGTCGTGGGGACCGAACTCTGTGATCATATCGTTTGTTTGCGTATGTCATTGGCGTTCCTTTATATTCGTGCTTATTATTTATATCGTCTTTGTCAATTGCTTGTTGTTTATATTGCCCTATCACTTTAGTAGTTTGTTTACCCTTGTGTTACTTATATATATCATTGCTCATATCTTGTTGAATATCATTCTTGCTAGGATATATCGTTAATTAGTTTTAAATTAGCATAAATCAGATTAGATTAGCATAAACCCTATTCACCCCCCCCACCCCCTCTACGGTTCTTTCCATAGTGGTATTAGGGTGCTTTCTAACGCAGACCCCGTGCCCAACCGGCCACCCCCTCAACCTCCTCCAGCAGCCAAGCCCCATCTCTCTCTGTCGTCCCTCCTCCTCAAACTTGCCATTCACTCTCGCCGAATCCCCGCTCGACAACACCCTTAAACCGCCGCCCAGAACACACCTCTCGTCTCTTCATTCCCCAAGCTCGTCACCTGCTGCTATAACCCCTGCTCAACAGGCCACCTGCAAGATCCTCTCACCATGGTTGCGTCATATAGTCACCAATGCCCCGTCCGCACGCTCTCAGACACCACCCCTCGCTAGGCCTCCTCCTCGCGCACCTGCACTCCAGCCCGCACCATCGCTGCAAAAAAAAATATGAGCCACCCTCCCTTACCTCCCGACTCGCCAGCCACCGCCTCTCCACCACCCTAATCCTTAGAATCTGCCTCTCTGCCCTCGCTCGCCAACGCGTCGCCCTACCCCTTCCTGTCGTCCTGCCCTCAGTCCAAACCGCGAAAAGCTCGGAGCTCCTCCGGCCAGCCTCACTGTAGTCGCCAACAGCCACGCGCCAAGCCTCCTCCAGATCGATCAGGAATATATATCCTCTCCCACACCACCACGCCTGCACCGTTGTCATCACACGGCCCCCTCCCCCTCCGCCCAGCTTGGCTCCTCTGCCCTCTCCATCTCCTCGCCGCTCGTCATCGCCCCAACTCAGCACCTCATCGCCTCTCCGTCAGCCACCAGGACCATCGCGCCACCACGCGATGGGTGGAGGCTGGGCACGGGTCTGGTGAGCTCAGTGGGTGATGGGGAGGAGCAGGGAGAGAGATGATGAGAAGGGGCTGAGGAAGAGGGGAGGGGGAAAGAGGGGGCGTCGGGTGAGTTGATTTGGAAAATCGACCTTTTTTTGCACTGGACTAGTAGTCCTGTGGAAAAAAGAATCGAGTTTGCCCCTTTTTTTGTTAGACGGTCGGTTTTGCCTATTAAATTTAAAAAAAAAGATCGTTTTTCAAAATTTGTCCTATCCATAAATGTTCCAATGAAGACTTCATTAGAAAAGAATTACACGCCATGCCATTTTTATCGTGACCATGACCTATACCAACAAAGCCACTGTTGGTCAAAACTATGAACTGCTCAAGGTCATTAGTCCAAAATTACTGCATTTGACTAGCTATTAATCAAACTAATGAGTCATGGTGCTTACAACCCACAAAACCCGCTCATCCTTAGCAGATATGTACAGTTCCCGGAGAGCAATTAACGGGAATTTGAGCCTAACGTTTGACGATGATACTAATCTTTGGAACCCAATTCCAATGCTAGAAAAGCTATAGAGAAGAAAATAACTTTAAAAACAATCATAATAAAGAAAAAGATTATAAGAATACATGAGTTCTGAATTATGTCATGTTGCTTTTTGTTTTGTTTATTATTATTAGGGTGTGCAAAAAGAGATTCTTCAAGGGCGAGGTCAAATCCTTGTTTAATTTAAGATAAATGCGCTATGATGTTTCTTTGTCCATGCGATTTGTTTAGTTATAAATACATAGGATAGATATTATAAACGCATAGGATGAGGACCAAAACCGGAAAATGTTTTAAACAACGTTAAAGCTGGCTATCATAAGACCTACTTAGCATAAACATTAATAATCTATATATAACCTTTGTAAAAGATATTTATACAAATAATTAAAGTGAAATTTAATCATAATGAACTTATGTCTTGTAGGGAATAGAACTTTGCTGATATATGATTGAATTTTTTAAATGGTCTAGAAATTTATATGCAAAAAAATTAAGTTTGTTATAAACTTATAATAGTTATATATATATATATAGAGAGAGAGAGAGAGAGAGAGGATTTCTCATACGCATCACTTCGTACGCATTGAGGCTAATTCATCCGATTGTAGGTTTTTTTGCAAAAAAAACCGCTGATTGATCGTACCTCGTGACCGCTGCGGTTTTTAAAGGGCTGGGTTTTTTTGCAAAATGTCACTGATAAATCCCCTCTCGTGACACAAAATGGGTCTTTCTCTCTCCCCACGACAGCGATCTCCAGCTCACTCTCGTGACCCAAAATTTCAACCATTGAGATCCCAAATCCCTCCTCAGATCTTCAATCGGAGCTCCTCCTCCGTCTCCTACGAGATCCCCAATCACTGTCCTGAGATCTCCAGTCGGACCTCCCCCGCGGCATCCACAATGACGACGAGCTCGATCTCCAGATCCGCAGCTTCCAGATCCGCCATCCCCAACTCAGGTTTTCCATTTCTCAGCTCGAGCTCGATCTCCAGATCCGCAGCTTCCAGATCCGCCATCCCCAACTCAGGTTTTCCATTTCTCAGCTCAATCAAACTTATTAATTGAATTTTTTTTACCTATTTCCGACAAATACTTTATCTTCTATAATGAACCACAAATAGAATTTGATTACAAATACTTTATCTCCAGATCCGACAAATACTTTATCTCCAGTTGTGTGAGGAATCCCCCACAAATAGAATGAACCAAAAGGTCGTTTTAATGTATGTTATCTTGTACACTCCTTGTTTTTATTTCAAAGTGCTAGATATAAATAAATGGTATATACAACTGAAATAAATCAGGGTTCATAGTCTCAAATTAAACTATATACGTGCAATTTGTTATACATAGGTATACATCCCTCCTTATTGGTAATTGTTTGTATCTTTAAGAATCTGTGAATGAAGAGGTTGTACATGCAATAGCATACGTTCTTAAAGAATCTGTGAATGAAGAGTATCTTCATGCCAATTTCGTGTGTTGGCCATGTTCAGCATTCAAGAAACAGAACAGACATTTGAGCCCATATCTGAATTCCCAATGTGTACACTGTGTTAATTAAGTATTTCTCTTTAAGTCATTCTCTATAAGAGGTATCCTGGTTGAAGCGTAACGATCACATGTTTGCAATGCAATTTATATCTCATAAAAGCTCCAATTCTTCCTCAAATCTAACAAATAATTTTAAATTAACAGATAAACTTTGTTGGGTTTAAGGGTATCAAAACAATATTCTTTTTGAAGGCTATGTACACTTATTGAAGACGGTCTTGTACATGCTACTATTTTGATTACATCTGATGTATACTTGTTGCATGCCCCTTGCAGGTACTGTATTCAAGAATGGAAATTTGCAGACGTGATGTTTTGCAGTTGAGGCCCAAGAAGAAGATCAAGTACACTAATTATCTGCTTGTTTGCCTTTTTCAGTCTGTTACTGCTGCTTTAGTTCACCTGTTATATGCCTTTTGCATAACAAAGTAACTGCTGTTTTTCAAGTGATGTTGAACATTAACTTTTGCCTGTAATAACAAAGTAACTGCTGTGTTTTCTGTTTTATGTTTTGAAGTAGGCCAATCACGGATATTGTGAACATGAATATTGTGGCTCCAAAGCTGAACTGAATTATTGTGAACATGAATAGTAGCTGTTGTTTTTTCCTTTATGTTCACCGCGCATAGGCCACCTTCACTGTTAGCCCAAATGCGGATAGACCACCTGCAGCTCAGTTTGTGCAGATAGATCCCCAAAGCGAACTTGCGGACTTTTTAAAACAACTCATTCTGGGGGGTCTATCCACACTTGGGAAAAAAGCGTAGCACTTCGTTTATGCAAGAAAATGCACACAAAAGCAATCCTTCCTTTGTTTCCCTGATGAATCAGTTTATATGAACATGGTTCTCCAAATACCTTCACCGGTGGATAAAAAGTTCGCGATAATACACAAAACAATGTAGGATTATAGAGCAGATTTGAGACTACCATCATAAACCATAATGGATAGAAAACATATATTGATATCAATGTTTGGCTCAATCCTTGTAGAGCCCTATAAACACTGAATAATGCAGCTCAATCACAAAAATTAGTACCTAGTCATACAATGCTAGTGTCTCAAACCCATAACAATAATAATAATAATAAACAAATAAATAATCTAGTCCCAAACATCAGAAACATATCTCTAGAAACTACGAAAGCTAGAAAATTGTATAAACTGCAGACTTTGATGCTAAAATACCACAAGAACTGGTTGATTCACTCAGCTGGATTCAAACAGGTTCAACCTACAATCATTCAGGAAACTTAAAAAAAAATCAATCTTCACAAAACATGGAAACAAATAAGAACACACAGGATGCTATTAACTGCGTTCACAGTGCAAATAAAAGAATTAGCTCCATGTTCCTTTTGTCTTTGACGTCAAATGATAATAACACAACAAGAGTTATCAAGAGATAACAGGAAAGATAATGCTTTCCATGTATAAAGAGTTAAAACATGAACACCAGATGCACACAAGTGGAAAAGGCAACGATACATACTACAAATACAACACCATAAATTACATCACATGTTTTTTGCAATGAAGAAACCAACAAATACCGCAACGATACATACTAGAAATACTAGTATTGTAAACAATGAACCTAATACAAAAGCATAGATAGAGAAAATAGAAGTTGTCCCAAGTTTTTCCTTGTCCACATCCAGATTATGGCTCACTGGATATCTTTGTTCTTGATCATAAACAGATGTTTGGACAGGCCTCGAGCTGGATGTTGAATCATGAGCGAGTGTGTGCTTCTCCCATTCAATCAAAGCCTCTTCGTATGTTGCATACCCTTTGTAGGAGGCATTTGGGAACTTATCTACCTGAGATTTGCATTCCTCCCAATTATTAAAAATACCACATCGTCGTCCTCTCTTCACAACATAAAAACTTTTTCTAGCCATGGATAACCTGAAAATACCCCAAATTGGTGGGTAAACAAAATTTTTATCCCATAGTTGCTTTCATTTCTATTTACCAACACGAATATTACATAGGAACAACACAAGCAAGAACAACAGTTAGCCCACATTTGACACATTTGATTGAGCTAAAGCAGCATTAACAGACTGAAAATTTTGACCTTTTGGTTCATTCTATTAAAGTTTTTTCTTTGGCATAAAATTTCCTGAAACTATTTGTGGGGGGTTGCTCACACGACTGAATAAAATCCCTACAATCAATAACAATTGGCCGGGCCATTTTTGCTAGAAAACAATGAACTTTGATGTCATACCATTTTGGGGCTAGTAGAAATCATTCCCATGTGTTGTATTTCAAACGAGCTCATCAACAAAACAAATTGGATAACTGATACAAATTGGTCTCTCAGCTCTGTCACATGATCTACCCCGTATAAGCAAGGTCTATAATGAAATCAAATGAATCAATCAAAATGTTAATGTGACAGAAACCACCAACCTGCTTCATTTTGCTAATTCCTGAACAAAAGATTTCATATATATATTTGACAAAAAGTGGGGGAAAATATATATTACAGGTCGAAAATTTGAAGAATCAAAAATTCAATTAATAAGTTTGATTGAGCTGAGAAATGGAAAACCTGAGTTGGGGATGGCGGATCTGGAAGCTGCGGATCTGGAGATCGAGCTCATCGTCGTTGTGGATGCCGCGGGGGAGGTCCGACTGGAGATCTCAGGACAGTGATTGGCGGATCTGGAAGCTGCGGATCTGGAGATCGAGCTCGTCGTCATTGTGGATGCTGCGGGGGAGGTCCGACTGGAGATCTCAGGACAGTGATTGGGGATCTCGTAGGAGACGGAGGAGGAGCTCCGATTGAAGATCGTCGATGTTGTGGATGCCTCGTAGGAGACGGAGGAGGAGCTCCGATTGAAGATCGTCGATGTTGTGGATGCCTCGTAGGAGACGGAGGAGGAGCTCCGATTGAAGATCTGAGGAGGGATTTGGGATCTCAATGGTTGAAATTTTGGGTCACGAGAGTGAGCTGGAGATCGCTGTCGTGGGGAGAGAGAAAGACCCATTTTGTGTCACGAGAGGGGATTTATCGGTGACATTTTGCAAAAAAACCCAGCCCTTTAAAAACCACAGCGGTCACGAGGTACAATCAATCAGCGGTTTTTTTTGCGAAAAAACCCACAATCGGATGAATTAGCCTCAATGCGTACGAAGTGATCCGTATGAGAAATCCTCTGTATATATATATATATATATAAGAGAGAGAGAGAAAAACTTGTGTCAACTTAAGTGGACGTCCACTAAGTTTCTTAGCCATTGATGATCACTTGATTGAGCTGCTTTGTGGATGATCCGCTCCGTTAAACTTGATCTACATATTCTAAAACCATATATATATATATATATATAGAGAGAGAGAGAGAGAAAAACTTGTGTCAACTTAAGTGGACGTCCACTAAGTTTCTTAGCCATTGATGATCACTTGATTGAGCTGCTTTGTGGATGATCCGCTCCGTTAAACTTGATCTACATATTCTAAAACCACAACACACCAAATTTGGGGTGAACCCGTCGTGGTTTGACCATTCATCCACTCGTATCAATTTTAACGGTTTCAAATGAATAGCACTCGTATCTATATATATATTAGGAATTTTAAAAGTATGATCCATGGAGAAGATTTTATTATTATTATGGTCGAAATAAGTTGGTTCAAGTTGATCGAGGGTTAGAAGCTTTGAAATGATTTTGGCTGAATATTTCATCTTAGAAAGCATGAGATGTAAATAATAGAGGATGACTCAACTTTTTGGCCGGGAAAATAATTTGATGAATGATGTCGCTAATAATTCAATTATCTATAGTGAAAATGAATTATTGATTATAATTGATCGCAGAGCAAAATCTTCATTTTAAGAAAGGTACTTAATAATTGAATCTTTTCATGGCATTTGCTACTCTTATGGGGAGTTTCTTTTACATTTTTCTGCAATAACAATTTTTTAAGCTTGTGACAAAACGAGTAATTTCTAGGAAACTAAAAATAACGCGGACAATGAAATATCTATTTTATTTTATATTTGACAATCAATGACTCGGAATTTTCCGCATCGTCTGGGCGGGAGGCTATAAAAAAAATCGTACTCAATAAAAATGTAAACCAACAAAAATTGGGATCAATTAAATCACCTGCAATATGCGTGGATAATACCTCTTCCTCCACTTCGGGGAAAAAAATACCGACATACACCATATTATGAGCTATAATTAAAATTAATTAAAGTTATAAAAAAATATCTTAGGGATCCAAAAACATGAGACCTTACATAGGACATGTGATGTGTATCTGCTCAATGTCCTATGATGCACTGTTTAACAGTACATCATGGGACAGGGAGCCGACACCTCACTCGTCTCATGTAAGATCTCATGTTTTTAAACAGTATATCATGGAACAGGGAGCCGATACTTCCCATATCTCATGTAGGATCCCATGTTTTTTGGTCACTGAGGCACCTCCCAAACTAAAAAGAAAAAAAGAGTTTTTTTTTAAGTTACCAATGGTTGTCAGTGTCAGCAGCCTGTCACATGCATCTCTCTCTCACTGGCTTTCTCTCTCATGAGCTCTGTTGTGCCTCAGCACTTCTATTTATTAGCTTTTTCCCCCTGTTCTTCTTTCTCCGTGTCAACGCAAAACAAAAAGTCTCTCTCTCTCTCTCTCTCTCTCTCTCTCTCTCTCTCTTTCTAGAGACAACAGTGCCTTCTTTGTTCTTCTCTTCACTTGCTCTTGCAGTGAAATTTTTGTATTTTTTGATGGTTTGGTCGGTGGTTTTGTGCTTCCCAGTGTGTTCTATGAAGACTCTGAAGAAATTAGAGATGCCCATTTGAAAGATGTGATCTCTATAACCATTTTGAGTTGGTGGGTCTTGAAATTAAAGATCAAAAAAGTGATTTTTTTGATGGTTTCATGGGTTCAATAGGGTAATGGAAGCCTCAAACTACAGATGCATTCTTAGTTATTTAGTACTTGCTTCTTTTTTCATATAATTGTAGTAGAAAGATTGTAACTTTGATGCTTTGAATACTTCTTTTAATTACTATCCTTGTTCTTAGTTCCTCCCTCAATTGCTCTTTGAGAGCCTTTTCGGATTCTAGTGCCCATTTTTCTGACGGTTTTTAGTGTTGCGGCCGAGTAGGTTAACTGAAATTGTTCTTCTTTCTCATTTTAATTGGTATTTACAGTAACCCCACAGTATAAGCATCAAAGTTGTCTTCTTCAAGCTTTTTATCTTTTTTTTTCCTCTTTTTTATCAGCATTGATTCTTGATGTATAAGTGTGCCTGTATTACTCATTAACCAATCATTCCTTCCCCTCTGCAGGTCCCTTTTCTCAAACAATATGAACACGGTTTCGGCAAAATCTCTCAAGAGAAAACCATCAGAAGAATCTCAATCCATCATTTCACCTTTCCCTCTCAGTGAACTAAACCAAGATCTTCTCGAGAGAATCCTCTCTCGTCTCCCTCCTTCAAGCTTCTTCCGCCTCCGATCGGTCTGCAGAAAATGGAGCACAATTTCATCCTCACCGACATTTCTTCGAGCTTGCTCTGGGATTCAATGTAGAGACCCTTGGTTTCTTATGGTCGAACAAAGCTTTACCCAATCTATCATATTCGATACCAGCGAAGGAAACTGGAAAAATCTCAATCACCCCAATTTCCTTAATCAAACCCAATTCTCAAAATCAATTCCAGTGGCTTCATCGGGGGGTTTAGTTTGTTTTCGTTCACCCTCTGGCCAATTTATTGTGTACAATCCAGTCACTGGTGACTGCAAAGAAATCCCATTAGCCCCTAGTAGCCAAAATCTCCATGCCATCGCCATGAATTCCTCCAATAAAGATCCCTCGCTGTACAAAATTGTACTAGTATTGGGTGAATTTCCAAACCTCAGTGTTGGAATATTCGATTCGAAGAAAAACCAGTGGGAGGATGAATTTGCATTGAGAAAAACCGATGGGAATTTGTCGGAATCCAATGATATAGATGAGCCTGAGACTATCTATTTCCTTAGCAAAGCTGGGGATGTTGTGTCCACTAACATTCAAAGGAGCCCATCAAAGCAATACTCATCGGTTCTCATTGTAGAAGGAAATGGTGAAGAGATTATCTATTTCCTTGGCCATTCAGGCACAATTGTATCCTGTAATCTCACTCAGAAGACCTATATTGAGTACCCGAGGCTTTTGCCCATAAACTTTGAATACTCAATAGATTTGGTGGAGTGCAACGGAGAAATGTTGGTTGTTATGCTCTCAGATTTCTTAGAGACGACGAGCCTCAGAATCTGGAAATTCTTGAAAGAGGAGAAGTTGTGGATACAAGTAACAGCAATGCCAGTGTCCATGTCTCATGAATTTTGTGGGAAGAAGGCTGATATAAACTGTGTTGGTTGTGCAGATTCAATACTGATATGCATCAGCTCATCTGAGTGTAATAGTTATGTGATGTGCGATCTGGTTGATAACGCGTGGGTTGAGCTGCCAAAGTGTTTTGTGAACGGGAAGGCTAAAGGATTCATGTCTGCGTTTTGCTTTGAGCCTAGGATGGAGATTTCAGTATGAGATGTAATGTTGTAGTTCTTCATTATTTTCAAAAACTCTAGAAGTACAATTGATAATTACATGTTGTAATTTCAAATATCTGAGATCAATTCAATTGCTGTAAGATTTCCAACCATTAGATTTGTACATTTTTGTTTTTTCACCACGGCTACTCTTGTTTAAATCTGATTCGTCTGCTTATTTGCCGATAAGATAAGGATTATTTATGGTTCATGAGTGGAATTTTTTGAAAAGTTTATGCAGTCAGTGAATCTATAAGATTGCCCACCAATGAGAAAAGGACCACTTCGCTTTGGAAGCGAATATATATGGGGTTCCGCTATATGTAAGTAGGATTCTGTGATTTCTTCAATCTATCTATATATCTCCCAGACCTAATGGATGCAGCTTGGAAGGAGTGTTGATAATATTAAGTTTATTTTATTGCTTCAGCTGATCTCCCATTTTGTTATGTTTTGATTATGTGCTGCTAGCTAGTGGCTCGTGGGGCAGCATCTGTATTTGATAAGCTTTACCTTTTGCCGTGTCTTGATCTTTTGCATTTGATGTCCTTATTAGAGTTTGTGGGTGTCATGTGTGTATTGGGGCATCTTTGTTAATGCTCCATTTAGTTCTTAGCTTTGTGATTTTGTGAGTGAATCACTCTAGAAGTTTTAAGGAACTTCCAACATGACATCCGTATCTTCTACGTATCGTGCTGTATTTATACCGGCTCAAACTAAGTTCAGTCCTGTTGAAATTCTGTTAAGTCCTGTTGAAGTTGTGATCAATATGATTGAACTGTTTAAGACGAACAACCAGTACTACTAATGCTAGGATTCTGGTGATGAGCACATCGTGAACCCCCTCAATCTTATTTGATGAATAAAAACTGGCTTTAATGTAAATTGAAGAAACGATAAGCTTCAAATCGCAAAGAAAACTTTTGGTGATTCTTTAAAGATATACAAGCAGGGAAACATAAAGATAGTTTCTTCAATAATCATCCAGACATGCACAGACCATTAAGTCAAAAAACCCACTCCAACAGCAACAACCAACAAGAGCTACAAGTTTCATTGCTAACGAAAAGAAAAGAAAGCACCTAACAAATGTGTGCCATTGATGTTAGTCAAAATCACTTGGCTATCATTTCATTCAAAGACGAAAAAAGAAATGGAAACAATCATTGATGATCTGACTGTGCCTCTAGAAACAAATTACAGGAAGAAAGGAAGGATACTCTTATACTATGGCACAAGAAAACTATTTTTCACAATTATGAACTGCAGCCATGCATATGAGCAACTAGAATAGATTATATCTACTAGCATCTGTTGATGAAGATGATGGCACAAAGATAGCAACATCTTGAACGTACAATCAATTCGACAACCATTAGTCCTTTACATCTGTAACTCCTTCAGCAGAAATTTGAAATCGTGCATCAGCTTCAGCCAAGCACGGAGAACTTATTACTTTACAAATCCTCTCCTCTCCCCTACCCTTTCGAAGTGCCAGCCTATACAAAGACAAAATAAATAAATAAGAACAGAAGCAGTAATTTAGATAGTGAGAGATCTTAAACTCAATTTGCTCAAAAAGGAACCTTGTAGTGGATGCATGTGCCATGATATTTCCACCGATAGGTTTGATTTGTGGGCCAGCAAACATTGCAGAGCCATCGACTTGAGCAACAACTTGATTCGTGATGACTACGGCGACACCAAACTATATCCATCAATTACACAAAACAAAATGAATCAACAAATATAGAATTAAAAAAATGACACAGATTTCAATCACATTGGTTTATCTTTCTAAACTTTCCTTGTACTCAGACCTCATTATCAACTTCAAGAAATTTAAATGAAAATAATAGAGTAAAGGCTTAATTGCACTTAAATGCTCTATAGTTTCCCCAACCTTGCACTCAAGTGACCTCTTTTTTCAAACCAAACAAAAAAATACCCCGAATTATTTAAATATTGCAGATAACCTAAAGTTTTAAAATGTTGCAAGTTGGTGCCCTCTTGCTTACCCAATGTTGCATATAAATGCCCCAAAGTTTGTAAATGGTCTCACTTAAATACCACAAAGTTTCTAAGAGTTTTACTTTAGTACGCTCTGCTATGTGACATAGAGAAAAGATAATGCCGTCTGGGTTTTTTTTAACTATGGGGCATTCTCTAATACCTAGATACTTTACGTTATTTTTTGTTCGGTTTGAAACTATTGAACATTTAAGTGCAAGGTCAGGGACGCTATAGGAAGTGCAATTAATCCTAGAGTAAATAGGTGATGACTCTAAATAGAGATGTGGGACTTGCATTTCAGACAATAGGAGCAATAAAATTGCCTGAGATCAAAACAAAGTGCTAGAGGCACTAGAGAGCACCTCGTCAGCTAACTTCTGGAGACTCCTCAAGAACTTTGCTAGATGCATTTGTCTTGCTGACAGTTCTCCTCTCCCAGAAAAATCGGTTCGGTAAAGAGCTGTAGCACTGTCCACTATCATGAGAGCAAACCTGCAAGAGACAAATTCTAGTTACAAGGATGTCTTAGACTTAACCATAAAAATGATACTGATGATTAAGCAATAAGCATTGATGCATTCTTGCATTTGCCGAAGTACATGAACACTTATTTCAACTTGTGAACATAAGTAAAAAAATACATAAACATATTAGTGAAACAGTAGACAAAGGTTAAAAATTAGACTACCGAGTGCATTTTGATGATTTTATAGACTTTTGATTCCGCACAATTACAAAAAATCACAAGTCATGAGGACATTGCCAATTTTATTGCATGAGATGCTTTAAGTTGTGTTCTATGTGACTGCTAAAAGTAGGAGAAATCTTTGTTGATTCTGTATGAGGAAGAGAATTGTGCTGTTAACAAAATGAGTACATAAAGCAAATAATGTACAAGATTTAAAACTGCAAATACCTGGCCTCAACCATCATCGAAGCTGCTTCCAGCAAAAGCCTAGATTGATGATCAGTATTATATGCTCGAGCATAAGCAACATTCTCCAAAACATCTTCGCCATTAAGTCCAAACCTGAATTTTGAGCATACCTGAAGTTAACTGCCATGAACGAAGTGTATAAAGATTTTAATATACCTTTGTTTGTAGGATAGTTACCTATCTGCAATCTGTAAGAGTCTTTGTGGCCTGAAAGTGCCCTCTGCATCAATATACAAGGCTTTCCCTTCACCACCACCTTGATCCAATGGAAGCTGAGATATAGAAGAATATTTTGTTTGGAAACAACATTTTAAAGAATTGCATGTGGATGTTGAAAAGTCTCATAACTAAAGCAGGCAAATGCAAATTTAGGGAAACTAAAAAACTTGATCATGCATTAACTAGAGCCTCTTTCAACTTTGTTCTCAATCATGAATTATAATATTGCATTTCCAATAGGTATAAACAATGGGTTATGAGACGCTAATAGATATCTATGCACCATTACTAAATACATACTTAAATTCTAATAACCGTTTTATCATTGAAGATCGTGTTTTAAAGCACTAGTTCTTACCTGACAAGTGACACATAGAGTATGACACAACTGAGTCTTTCCCGAACGAAATTCACCATATATTTCAGTAATAGATCCAGTTTCAATCCCTCCTGCCCACGGAAATATTTACAAAGTTAACAAATAGAATCTTACTAACAAAATGGCTTTTTAAGTATTCTTTTTTCCTTGAGATAAATATAAGAAGAAATTACCATCCAAAATCTTGTCAAGTTCTCTAGACCCAGATGTGATTTGGATGATTTCAAGCCTTTGTGCATGAAGTTGGCTAGCACTGGTAAAACCCAAGGGAACAAGCTTTGAGGCTGTAGATGATCAGTGTAAATGGAATGTTTTATGGAAGTATAGAGGACAGTAATCTCTTCAGATAAAGAAACACATAACTATGATTAATATGAAATAAGAAAAGATGGCATGCCTGCTTCGATGATTTTGTCGACTTTGGCCTCACTAATTCCTTTGATTTGAAGAAGATCTTTTCTTGGTGAATATGCAACAGATTCCACAGTGCAAAGACCAGAATCTTTCAGCTTTTTAACATCAAGAGCAGCTATACCAGAAGCCTTGATAGGGAAATGATAAAATCATCGAAATTAGAATTTTGAATAGGATCTAGAAGCATTATCATGTGCTATTAAGATTTAGACTGCACTACTAACAAGCTTTAGCATGTCACTAAGAAATGCAGCTCTATTTGCAGAGAGTTGCTTATCTCATTATATATGGAAAAGGGTAACCTATCTGCAATAAATGCTTGCAGATAATACAGACTTAAACCTCAAACTTGCACAAGAACGTGAAAGCATGCTAAGCACATCATGGTAAAATCTTAACTACCATCAAATGTCACTATACTTTGTACTATGCGTCTTGGTGAATTCTTCTTGGGACAGAGGACTGAAAGGAGTAGTTTCTTGTTATATGAGGAAAATTCACTTTTAGTATCCCAATTGGAATAAACTGTGACCCATAATGAATGGTCAAAACAGGCAAAAATAGCAAATATAATGTGTATAAGGACCAAAAAAACAAATTCGCATAACATATAACTACAGAAAATATTAATATAAACCCTTGCATACCCTTCTAACAAATGTCTCTTTTCATTAAAAATAACCGAACTTTTAACCAAATGCATTATACCTATTTACCACAGTAAATATTTGAAGGCAACACCAAGAGATGAAAAATCTTGATATCATGTTGTTGAATTAACAAAAGGCTAGAGGAAATTGTGGATGATACTCACTTTCTGTTGAACAATTAAGTGGATTAAAATCTAAGAAAGAATCAAACTTGGCAACATTTGATAATGGGGGATGAAATCCGCAAGATATTGACAAGTCCTCTCAACAAATAAGGGCAAAAACCAATAGTGAAATTGAAAGATACCCATTTCCAGATAAGAACAATAGAAGCTAAAAGACCAATAAATGACGAATCTTGACAAAAAAAATTACCTCAAATCAAGCTAAAACCCTAGTTCCCTCATTACCCAAATGAGGGTTCAATTTAATTCCTGAGGGAAAATTAAAAGATGCCCAGATCTAAATAATGAGCTATCCGCGTCAAAACCTAAGAAAAATCGGATCTTGACGGGATTTGGCCAAAGGGACAATCGGAAATTTAGGGTTTCGAATGCTACCTGAAGCTGTTCAATGGGGAAAGGACCGTGTTGCATATCCTCGCCTTCTTGTTGCTGTTCCTCTACCAGTTTCTGCTTCTTCTGAAGCTGGGCCGCCATGGCGAAGAGAGAGAGAGAGAGAGAGAGAGAGAGATTGAAGAAGAGGGGGTGGGGGTCTTTCAAAACAATATTGAAAGAGCGCCAAGTTTTGGGGAATGTGTGAATCGTTAAAAAGGAAGAGTGGCTTCTGTTATAAGCTGCGTGTTATTTCTTGAAATGGACAAAATGGCTAGATTGTTATATTTTGTAAAGGCTTAGTAACATGTTGGTATTTTTTTTTTTTGTCAGATTAGTATATTTTGGCTCTGTTTGGCAAAACTAGCTGAAAGCTGCGAGATTATAGCTGAAAGCTGTCAAGCTAGCTGAAAGCTGTGAAATTGTAGCTGAAAGCTGATAGCTGTGTAGCTAGCTGATTGACTAGAGCTGTTTGGCAAAAGAAGATGTACAACTAGCTTAAATTTGTTAAATGACTAAAAAAGGTCATGTAATATTATTGATATAAAATTAGAATTATTAGGAAAAAAACAGAAGAAAAAAATTGACAGCTCCTTCCCAAAGACAAACACTACTTGAGATAGCTTTCCAAAAGCTACTTGCAAAAGACACAATCTCTAAAATAATCTCCTCCTATTTTTGGTCACCAAACAGCTCTACTAGCTTATTGACCAAGTCAATAAGACACAAGCTCTTAGATAAGACACCTTTTTTTGTTGCCAAACAGTGCCTTTATCAACTCCGGCGCTAAATACACCTTAAATTTGGTGGGAGTTACTGTTCCGACCAGTGCTGACGAGATTTCTTGCATAAAACCCCCTCATTAAACCTCCCCCTCCTCCTAACCCCCTCCTCCTCCTCCTCCCCCTCTCCCTCCTCCTCATCCTCTTCAACCTCCACCTCTCCCTCATCCTCATCATCCTCTTCCTCCTCCTCCACATCCATTCTCTTCAACAAAACCTCTTCATCATGATCATCATCATGGCATCGAACAGATTGTGAAGAAGATGAAAGATGAGGAAATGTGGCCTGGTTTAATGATTCAATCTATGGCTTGCAAGTTTGTTCTGCCTTTATATGGTTCTCTTGACAAAGCTTCTGATGTTGAGAGGGTTTGGAAAGTGTGTGAGGCTAAACCTCGTCGTGGTTGTGTAGATAAGGTTGAGGAAGTATTTGAGAAAACATTGAAGTTGGGAAATAAAGTTTCATCAAAATTCTATGATGCTCTTCTGAGGATATATGATAAAAATAAACTTCTATTTGAGGGGGAAAATTTGGTTAAGCGCATGAATGAGAATGGATGAAGGCAAGCTGGGTTCAGAAATAGGATGAAATTACATGAGTTGTTGCTTGAAGCCTATTTGAACGCAATGATTCCAACGTATGGGTTTAGGAAAAGGATGAAGGCTGATAATATTTTTCCCAAACAAGAAGCAAGCTGAACTACTAGAAGTTGTGGATGAATTTAGGAGGAGGATGGAGAGGGGGAGGTTGAAGAGGATGAGGAGGAGGAGGAAGAGGATGATGAGGATGAGGGAGAGGGGGAGGTTGAAGAGGATGAGGAGGAGGAGGGGGAGGGGGAAGAGGAGGAGGGGTTAGGAGCATGATGTGGTTTTAATGAGGGGGTTTTATGTAAGAAATCTCGTTAGCACTGGTCGGAACAGTAACTCTGGCCAAATTTAAGGTTTATTTGGCACCGGAGTCGATAAAATATACCAATCTGACAAAACTAAAAGAAAACATACCAACATATCACCAAGCCTCTGAAAAATATATCAATCTGGCCATTTTGCCTCTTGAAATGACAAGGAGAGACTGGTTATTTTAGGGCTAAATATCACATAGATACCCTATAGTTTCACTCTCTTGGCACTTACATACCCTTGATTGTATTTAGTAGCATTTTCTATACACTTTAAGTTGTTTAAAATTGGCACTTTAATATCGTCTATCTTGCAAACGTGAAAATTTAATTCTGAAAGTTCTCACATAACATTTATATGCTAATTTTAAAACTTTATGGCTATTGAGTTTATTGAATTTATTGTTAAATCTTTCCCAAATCTATTTTAAAATAGAATTAGGATACATTTAAAATAGTATTTGGGTGGCTTTAATAATTTAACAAATATTAATTATTAAAAAACTATAAAATTATCACACAAATGTTATATGGGAATTTTCGGGTGAAAATTTACATGTTTCCTTAAAAGAGATTATCAATGCGTCAATTTTGAACAATTCGGGATATATAAATACTAAAAAATACAATAGAGGGTATATAAGTGCTAAGGAATTGAAACCATAAGGTATTTAAGTCTTACGTAGTTGTTTTTTAGGTAAGTGTTGGCTATTTTTAGGGGTAAATTAGACATGTTAAAAGAAGGCATAGCAACTATTGAGCTAGGGGGTGTTTGGTTACATTTCTATAAATTATAGGAAATGTTTTCCATCCCAAATTTGAGTTCCTTGTATTTCTTAAAAAAATTATAGGAAAAGTTTTGAGAAGTTAAAAAGTACAAATTTTCTTATTTTAATTATAGGAAAAGTTTTGAGAAGTTAAAAAGTACAAATTTTCTTATTTTTTGTATTGTGCTTGTTTGGTTCAAAACAAGAAAATGAGAAATAACTTTTGGGAAAATAGCAACATTTCCTATAATTTATAGAAATGTAACCAAACACCACCAACTTTATAGAAAAGTGAGAACTTTGTAGAAAAGAGTTAATGAGTTTTATTATTTAAATAACGAATGCGTCAGATTTCCAAGAGATTTCCTCCCATTTTAGAAGGAAAATCAATTTCCATAAAATTTGGTACTTTTGGGCATTTTACAGAAAACATTTCTGTAAATTTTTTTGGAGCCAAACACAGTTTATAGAAATGTATAGAAAACTCTTAATTACATAAATGCCATGCGTCAGTACTTTTGAGAAAACATTTCTTAAAAACAATGCAACCAAACACCCCCTAATGCAATGGATGAGAAGAGGACACAAAATGAGAGGTTGAACTAAGGTTTTTTATATTGAAAATTATCTTAACTTTTGGTCCAATCACAATTTTTTTTTTTTGGATAGAAACCGCCAATATTTTGTTAACATATTAGCAATGTCACACATTATGACAGATTCTGCTAAAACAAGATCAAAATGCCTATTTTACCATCAGTGCTCTTTTTTTCCCCGACATCTTCCTCCTCCTCCCTTCACTTCTCCTCTTAACCCCCACCACCGTCATAGCCATGCTCTCTCCCCTCAATCCTCTCTAAAAACCCATCTCAAACATCATCACTGCCCATGACCACCACATCCCCCAAAACCCTAACACTGACTCTAGCTCGGGGAGGAAGAGGGAGAAGGAGAGTGAGGGGCAGGGGAGTGGGGGAAGGAGGGAGAGGCAAGAGGGTGAGAGGAGGAGGATGAGGAGGCTAGGTTTATGATTAAAGTTATGTTGTGTTTGGGAGCTCAGGAAGGTGAAAGGAGGAAGAAGATGTAGGAGGCAGTAAGTTGCAGTTGGACAAAGTTATTGCGGTTTTTATGCAAAATTCCTTGGATTAATGATGTCTCCGCTTTAGAGACTGAATCTAATTGCCCTCTGCTAGCAACAATGGTGGGGAAAAAAAAACAATTAGCTACATTGGACATATTATTGGAGACGTCTTTGTTCAACTGCAAGGTTTCCAAGGGCGAACAATTAAGCATATGTTTGTAGAAAAGATAACGAAGTGGTACGTGTACTATCTCAAACGATAAAAAAAATATATTAATGAGGTTATTTTTAGAGGATGTATCTCCCAATTTTCATCCTTTAGTGTTACATCTCTGTTATGTAATGGTGGAATTGGTCCACTAAAGACTATGCACTGTATGAAAGTTTCTTTTTGATCAAAAAAAAGAGATTATTTTTTTATTTTGTAGGGGGGAAAAAGGAAAAGAAAGAAACGTCATCTTAGTTTATAAAAAAAAGAGATTTACTCATGAAAGAAATCATACTTCATATCATACTCTCTTTAAAAGCACGAATTTGGGGGAAAAAATTTCATGGTCAATATTATCATTCACTATTTTGAATATTTCATTTAAATCTTAGCATATCCTAATCATAATTATATCTTATCCTCATCTCAAGTGAAATATTTATAGTTAAATAATTTAAAAAATAATATTAATAAAATATATAAAACAGTTTTACAGTATTAGTTTGTTACGGTAAAGAAGTTATATGAAGTTAAAGAAAAAATCTTCTGTAAAAAGTCTCTACATAAAATCATGGATCAATTTTAGAAGTATTGCAAAAAAACAACTAAAATTTTTAAATTTGCACAAAATATCCCTAAAAGTTCAAAATTATAAAAAAACATTTTGATGTTAAAGTTTGCAGTTAACACCTCAATACCTCAAAAATTATAAAAACACTCTCAGAAGTCCAAATTACAAACAAGCACGTTGAACTTCTAAAATTTTAAAACTTACAAATAATATAAATGAATTCAATAGATTATCCTTCTGCACCTAAATTTTAAAATTTATCAAAATTAACCTCAGAGTTATAAAAATTACAAAAAAAGACTCCTTCAAAATTTAAAATTTACGATAAACTCTAAAATTTCAAAATTTATAATCAGTACACATCAAATCTAGAAACTATTGACAGACCACTTAAATCAGAATTTTTTAACAAATAACGCAAAGTTTTAATGATTGTAAAAACACCCTCAAATTTTCGGAGTTGCAAAAAATATCTTGACATTTGGAAATTATCACCGACGTATGAAACATAGAAGTTACAACTACCAAACATAAAAGTAATTTTTTTAAAAACACTCCCAAAGTTTTAAAAATTACAAATCAGACCCGACCTCAAAGTTCAAAACCACAAAAAGGGCTGAAATTTCAAAACTTGGCAAAGAAAAGTGTAAATTTTTTGGTATTCTTTCATTAATATATATATATATATGTTTACTATTCCTTTTTAGCATCTAAAATAGTCTAAGTTGATGTTGGTAAACAAAAGTAATAAAAATTGATTAAAAAACATCTTGTTAATGAATACAAATTTAAAAAATATATGATAGCTTAAAATTTATCGTCGTTGTAAAAATCAAAGTAACTACATATAATTTTACTAATATATTGGAGTAGCAAAAATACTTAAGTAACATTAGTTGATAGAAATTTAAATCCATAAAAATGATAAAAGACTATAACATAATAGCTTAACATTAATTGATTATAATTTAGAGACATTAACATCTGATGCTAATAATATTCGTAGGGTAAAAGAATACAAGGAATTACATATAGAGAATCAGAATCTGTCAGAATGTTCAGAAATATCATTCAAATGAATCAAGCTATTTCCATTGCAAGTGAGAAAGTGACAGAAATAAATCTAAAATTCAGGAAAAAGTTCATAAGTCACTTGAATTGATATTAATATAAGGCATATCTATCAATGAAGCACCAACTTTAAAGAATAATTAACAACCTTATCCTAATCAAAGAAGACTTCTCCATGGAAGATACAAAACAAATTAGTAAGTATTCATAAATTTAATGCTTTGTTCTTTAAATACTAAAGATATTAAATATTAATATTATAATTTAAGTCAAACTGAGAATGAAAAATAAAGCTATTTAGTTTAGAGCTTTCTTGAAAATGACAAGGATAGAGCAAATGTGATATTATTGACATAGCAGAAACTCTTATTGGATGCACATCAGAAAAATTCATTATAGAGAAAAAAATATAACTCCTAATCTTATTTAAGTAATAAAATTGGGAACAAAAAAAATTATATATATGAAATTAATATTTATTCTCATTAAAATAGTAAAAAAATCAAAGTCTGTATTTCAAGAAATTTTTGTCGAACATTAGAAATACATTCAACTTCTTTGTGAAGTTAAATGAAAAGATAAAGAATAACCAGCCTAAGGAAATATAACAATGCAAAAAATATTGCTCCACCATGATGTCACAATCGATATAGATGATGAAGGCACTACTCTAGAATTTCCCATAAAAAGGTAAAGATGAAGAATGATTGATCTCAACTCAATAAAAAAATTAAACAAAATGAATAAAAGACAATATTTAAAAAATATTTTATAGAATAGTTTAATCTTTAGGAGGGAGTTTCATGATTTTTTTCCAGTTTTTTATATGCTTATGTGAATGTTTTTATCATGCAAAAGTATGCTAGAGTTAGCATTAATCTTTAGTTTATAATTTTTTATGAAGTTTATTAATGATTGGGAATAAACTTCATATTCTATTTTGTATCTTTTTAGCATACTTTTAATCAATCATCTTACCTTAATGGTTTTAAATATTCATCTTCCTTGTATAAAACTATTTCAACATTTTCTACTTTCTGCAAAACTGTACTTTTTCAAGTAAAACTTGGTTTCATGTCATTCTAACTAATATAAAAATTTAAATTGGCTTCATATTATATTTGTTGTTTATCAATTCAATTATCAACATGAAAATTTATGTTGGGTGTAGCCCATTTAAATAAATATCAAATAATAATAATAATAATAATAATCACAATGTTAGAGTAATTATAGAAAAGTGAACAGAAACTATTAAATTATAACCGATAAATAAATTTTAGTTATAAAATAAGTCAAAAATACTTAATCATGGTATTTAACCACTTATATAAAACGTAGTTATGACTAAATTTGGCGCAAAGAGGAATGTTACGGAAAGCTTTAACTTTGCGCCCTTCCAAAGATATTAGATTGGGCCAATCCAGCGCACTATTGGGGCACTATTGTTCACCCGATCCGTTTGCACGCGTTACTGGCGTCAAGTGACCAAAATACCCTCACTAACCATCAAATTACCACCCAACTCCCCTTCGGCCCCTATTGTCCTTGTTGAGTAACTCTCAGCTCCGAGCATCACAATTTCTAGGGTTTTTGCGATCCTTCACCATGTTTCTCACTAGGTAAAGTTCTCACCTTTTCGTATTCCAAACCTTCATCTATTACCAAACAGCAATAGATCTTAGGTTCTTAATGGGTTTCTTCTGTGATTTTGAAGAACTGAGTACGACCGAGGAGTCAACACATTCTCACCTGAAGGCAGGCTGTTTCAAGTGGAATACGCGATCGAAGCAATCAAGGTTCGATTGTGTAATCAATTTTGGGTTATTTGGGTCCAATTATGTGATGGGTGTTCATTGTTTTTTCATCAATTGGATCCCCTTTTGTTGGTTCAGTTGGGTTCAACTGCAATTGGATTGAAGACGAAGGAGGGGGTTGTTCTTGCGGTGGAGAAGAGAGTCACCTCTCCTTTGCTGGTACTTGTTCGCCCATCTGATCTCAATCTCAATTTATTTGTTGTTGATTCTTGAAGTGAAATTTGTTAAACGAGAGTTGAGTGGGATTGTTGAATCAATTGATCTAAGTATGCTGATTATCTGCTGAATATGCAATGGACTTGATGGTTAAGTTTATTATTAGAGCCAATACTGAAGCTATAGTCGTAACCATCAACTATTTGCCATTTAGTTTTGAATGCATGTAACTAAAGAGCAACCTAAAAATTTTTATAGACTACATGAAGTGTCTAGAATCTAGATTAAGCAGAACATTGAGATTTTCTGTTGGGAAGAAACCACTTTTTACTTAATTCTCCTTTGTTTTTTCTTTTTTGAGAAAAAGGATGAGAGGTTCCGACCCCCCCCCCCCTCCCCCTCCCCAAGCCAATGCTACATTGCCCCAAAATGGTTGTTCATCTATATCTTGATCATAATTGCCTTTTCTTATCCAAGTGGTGTTAGATAGGAAGCACGTGTCATTATCAGCCCCTAAATTTTTTTGGTGGATGGAAGTAAGATAACATACTTTCTGATTTATTGGATTAATTGTATAGTCTATAATACTTTTAGAAACTAATTGTGGTGGTTAGGATAGAGAGGGTTGGTGGGATTTGGGTTGAGGATACCGCCCTTGGTTTGGCAGTGAGAATATTTATTCAGGAATCTTTTACT